GCAGTTTTCAAAAACAGTCTCAGCATTCAGCCTCCAAAGAATGAGAAGACATCTTCCAAGCATATAAACAATTGTTTTGGTTTCCTTTGAAAAAGCATCTGCTTGCTTCAGTTGGGAAGGTGCCCATTCCACTCTGCCTTTGTCACACAGCAGGGTGCTACTGTGGGGCCATCTCTGAGCAGTGGACTCAAAAGCATCTTCAGGCATGTCAGAGAAGGGAGGACTCACTAGAATTAGCAAACAAAGCCACCCTGACATCCTCCTTCAGGAACACAGGGAGCAGAGGCCAAAGCACTAAGGGGAAGGCGCATACCCAAGACGATTGTATGAAGAAAATATGGAGGAACTGTTACATATTTGGTACTAAGTCATTTTCAGGGGATTGAAAGACTATTGCTGGATTTCATGATGCTGACTGGTGTTAGCTGATTAACCCATGTAAATAGGCACTTATATAGAAGCAGGAAGGGGAGAGAAAGACTGGCTTCTGGACTTCCTCCCTGATCCCCACCCTTTACATATCACCTGCAGTGGCCAGAATTAGGAAATGAGAATGAGACCAGTGTAAGACAGTGCTGGCTGCCATTGCCTGGTCACATTGAAATTAGTGGTTTAATTCCGGTTGTAGCTTGTGTAGATATAGCAGGAAAATAGGAAAACCTACCATCTCAGTGAGCACCAGCTGCCTCCCAAAGGAGGGGCAGCCATGCTTATATTTTTATGGTTACAAAGGCACAAAATTATTATCAACCTAACTAAAACATTCCTTTTCTCTTCTGAATTATCATGGAGTTTTCCAATTCTCTCTTTTGGAGTGTAGATTTTTTTTTTTTCAAATGCTTTAATGATGTAAAATATTTATTTTTTACTTATTCTGGAAGATCTGGCTGAAGGATTATTCATGGAACAGGAAGAAGCGTAAGGACTATCCATGTCATTTTTGTTGAGAGTCTTCGTGACTGTAAGATTGTAAATACAGATTATTTATTAACTCTGTTCTGCCTGGAATTTAGGCTTCATATGGAAAGGGTTTGAGAGCAAGTAGCTGAGATTTATCAGCAAATCTCTTGCAAGAAAGACACAAGGAAAATCAGCCTAATGAGCTGCTCTTCCCCTTATGCTCAGAGTGGATGCTATAGGATTCTTTTTTCTTTGTTTTGTCTTTTCAAGGGGAATTATTCGTTACCCATTTGCAAATGTTCTGCATTGCAAGCCATGAGGTCTTCGATACTGTTTTACCCCATCCCATGTGCCTATTTCCAGGGAGAAGGAAAGCATATACACTTCTTTCTTTCATTTTTCCAAAAGAGAAAAAAAATGACAAAGGTGAAACTTACATACAAATATTACCTCATTTGTTGTGTGACTGAGTAAAGAATTTTTAGATCAAGAAGAAAGAGTTTAAGTGTCTAACAAACTTAAAGCTACTGTAGGACCTAAAAAGTCAATGTTGTACATAGTATGAAAGTTCTGCAGAGAAGTATTCCCAGTAAGGAAATAGCATTGGAATGTTAAATACAGTTTCTGAAAGTTACGTTTTTTTCCTATCATCTTGTATACCATTGCTTTATTTTTATAAATTATTTTCTCATTGCCATTGAAATAGATATCTCAGATTGTGTAGATACGCTATTTAAATAATTTATCAGGAAATACTGCCTGTAGAGTTAGTATTTCTATTTTTATATAATGTTTGCACACTGAATTGAAGAATTGTTGGTTTTTTTTCTTTTTTTGTTTTGTTTTGATTTTTTTTTTTTTTTTGCTTTTGACCTGCCCCCATTTTTACTATTTGCCAATACCTTTTTCTAGGAATGTGCTTTTTTTGTACACATTTTTATCCATTTTACATTCTAAAGCAGTGTAAGTTGTATATTACCGTTTCTTATGTACAAGGAACAACAATAAATCATATGGAAATTTATATTTATACTTACTGTATCTCTGCTTATTTGTTCCCCACTGGCTTTATGTCATGAGGTATGGGTAAATGCCACTCATAAACCAGTATAGCATACACGAAAAGAAATTACAGTAAATCACACCAACATTCACACTTTGTGTGTGATTTAGAAAGACTCAGTTGCTCAGGCCTAGTCTTAGAATTTGCTGGGTTTATGGAATAAAAGAACAAAATGATACATTAGCCTGCCACATCAGAAACATATAAAAGAGAAATTATCCCTAAGTTAAGGGACCCAAATAAATAAAATTTCATATTAATGTCATTAGATGTCACCTACTGAATCCTTTTCAAAGTTCAGTTCTGTTTCTAAAGAGAAGAATGAAAACAAAGGGAAAAACACTGAAGCACACGCGACTCTCGCAGCTACATTTTCTGACCCATGAATGATAGCACTGGGTGGGCAACACGATTGCATGTGTGGAGATGCTTCAGAAGTCCATGTGTATGAGGGAGGGGTTGTCCTTGCAACGGTGAGCCAAGCATTACAGATATCGCCTTTAGAAGAAGGAATAATAAGTTTAATCAAAAAAGATGACTAAAAAAAAATAAAATTTGGAAGGAATGAATAAATGTGTGTGTGTGTCTAAATACAAATTATTGTGTGAAGAAAAGGCCCAAGTGTAACAGTAAGCAACCCTTGATGTTTGGAAGGGCTAATCATGAATGTGGAATACTGACCAGTTAATTTCCAGTTTTAATGAAAACAAATCGAAGAAATTTTATGAGTAGGTTAAAGCTCTGGCCATGAGGTCTATTAAACACTAGACTGGCTGAGTGAGATAAAATCTTCCTTGTTGATTTTTCACTCTCATTCTATAAATACTCATCATTCTGAGTAGCATTGATCACATATAAATGTCCATTGCCAAATCATTTTATAGTACCAATAAGAAGAAGCAAGAACTAGAAAGTGTTGATAATAGCCGTGGAGTTAGGAGAACTGATCTAAAGGAAATAATCATTTGAAATGGCAAAGAATTGAACAGCATCATTCATTCTCAGAAGAGTTCAACGTGGGAAGTCCTGGGAGATAATTCTAATTCATTCTTGGACAGTGAAGGAAAACTGATTTAAAATACCAAGGTAAGACAGATAAAGTGACTGGAAAGAGGAGATTTTCTTCCAGGCATGTCCCAGTTTCACCCTAAGATTGGCCTTCAAGTCAGCAGGTTGTACTGAAATAAAGGACTTGTTATTTAAATCACGTCACTGAGATGATAACTTCTTTCCTCCTCCAAGAGTTTATTGTCATGCGTTGTGGGAGAGCTAAACTGAAGAGCAATAAACTCTAAGTCTTATAGGAATGTACCATAAAGGTGGTGCCAGTAGTTTTTTTTTTTTTTTTGAAGAGTCATATGTAGAAAAGCCTCCAACTGTAAGCTCCTAGATTCATTCCTTAAATTAAACTAGTTATCTCTCTTCTATAATATTTTTTGGGCAGGGGGATGGAGTCTCCCTGTCGCCCAGGCTGGAGTGCAGTGGCGTAATCTCAGCTCACAGCAATCTCCGCCTCCCAGGTTCAAGTGATTCTCCTGCCTCAGCCTCCTGAGTACCTGGGACTACAGGCACCTACCACCATACCTGGCTAACTTTTGTATTTTTAGTAGAGACAGGGTTTCACCTTATTCTGGACAAACACTAAGGCCTAAAGGGAAATCCAAAATAAAAACACTTATTTTTAATAAGAACACTTTCTATCTAAGTCAGGGTGACTTTTTTAAAAAATCCAGAAGCTTTATGTTGAATTATATTACAGATTTAGTTACCAGTCCTTGTTAGAGTTACCATCAGTTGACATGCTATAGAATTGTCTTGCCTCTTTTATAAGAAAATTCATTACTTAAAATCACTCTATTTTCTTTCCTCTTACATAAATAACAGAAAGGCTCACCATGTCCCAAATATCATTTGCAAAAACACACCATAAAGTCATAATCTCTGTGCAGTACAAGTCTAGAAATACTCTGTGTTTCTTTTTTTCTCCCCCATCCCTTCCCTTTTTCCTCCCTTCCCTCCTTCCCATTCTCTCTCTCTCTTTCCTTTGCCCTCTGATCACCTTTGCCCTCTGATTCTTCCCACCGAAACCCTAAAACACAGAGTACACCTTATATCATTCCTACGAGAATCTAAAGTCACAACTTTTAAACTTATTCTGCCATCCCACAGCAAAACTCTTGGCATCAAGATAAATATGTAGCACATTGGCGTCAGTATGAACCATTGCTATTTTAAATGAACAAATACTAAACTGAAAGAGAGTGTCTGGAAAAAGAAACTGCCTATCAATACACATGAAAATAGTAGCTATAGAATTTCTCATTGTAAACAGTCAAGGAAATTCCATATAAGCAATCGTTAATGTTATTCACTACCAGTAGATGAACACGTGCCAGCGAAAATAATGTCGTGTATACATTACTCCAAATTGTATTAAAGGCACCACAATAAATAGCCTGCTCATTTTTTGATTCAGAAATAAATTGGACTTCCAATTCTAACGCCAACTCATCTTACAGAAAGTCAACATAAAATGTCATGCATCTAGTTACTGACTTGTAACTAGACAAACCATCTCTCTTAAAATGGTACCACGGACTTTTTTTAAAGTAGCTCATCTTTATTTGATGCAATCTAAAAGGCCCAAATGCTGAAAGAAAATAACAAGCTATTGTTAACTATTAATAACAAAGTAATATATCAAATCATTCAGTCAAACTCTGACTTAAGAAATGTATCATCACCAATAAGACAGTAAAGGCTCTTCTAACATTGCTTTGTTGAGACAATTCATTTTGTCTTATGGTAGGCTGTACCAATGTCACAGACATGAGACAGGTGAGAAGAAGGAAACGCGGGGCCACAGCAAAAATTCCCAGTGACCACGACGATCTGTCTGAATCACAGCAGAGTTGAAACATACAAAATCGAATACAGGACAATCACAGCGCTTCAACTAGTTTGACCCTAACATGTATGCGTTAAAATGTTGGTTTTTATAACGAATCCTAATAGTGTAAGATTAGCAATAAATTTAAAACAATGTTCCCAGAAATCTTAATGAACAAAAACCACTGAACAATCACACCCCAAGTCTCAAAAATATCAAGGAAATATAATCCACAAAGAGAGACTCCAAATGTCAAAATCATTAAAGAATAGTTGCTACAGTGCATTCATTGAATTCAAATAATTCAATAAAAAATGTAATTTAACTTCATTACCAACTTTCTTAAAAGCACACTCAGCAAGTCCTTGCTTAGGATTCTTTACATTCTTCTGCTGCATCTTTAGTCTCCTGCTCACCTGCACATAAAAACAATAACCAAAGTTATTAGCGATTCAGAAATATATGCATAATTAAGAAAATAACCTTATTAAAATAATGCAAAATATTAAATCCTTTAACAGATGAGGCAATAATCGCATTCTCATTTAATATTTATTGAGCAGCCACCACAAGCTGCAGACAAAGTTTACAAGAAACACAGAAAGATCTGGGTGCCTACTCTCTACTCTCATTGAGCTTATAGCTCAGGGAGAACACTTCAGGTTTTGGAGCTAAAATACTATGGATGTGAAGACACACACAGAAGTTAATATTTTGCTTTCTACTGAGTTCCTGGGAAGTAGGGTGAGACCAAAAGTAAATGTTATATGTAGAACAGATAAGAGCTGATCGCCTTTCATTTCTTGAAGTGCAAAAAAAATATTGTGACATTAACAGAAATGGAGTGGAAATATATTTCTACCCTTAGTGAGAAGGTTGTCAGAAAATGCAGAATTGACAATAGAACTAAATTTTAAAAGACAAAGTAACAGGAGAAACCAGAACCTTCATGCGTGACTGATAGGAATGCAAAATGGTGCAGTACCTTTTGAAACAGTCTGGCAGTTCCTGAGAAGGTTACCATAGACCTGGCAATTCCACTTCTAGGTATATGCCCAAGAGAAATAAAAGCATACATCCACACAAAAAGTTGTACACAACTGTTCATATCAACATTATATCATCATAACAGCCAAAAAGTGGAAACAACCCAAATGTCCATCAAATGAAGAAAGGATAAGCAAAATGTGATATATCCATATAATTGACTCTTATTCAACAATAGAAAAGAATGGAGTGTGGATACATGCTACAACACGGATGAATCTTGAAAACATTAGGCTAAGTATAAGACGCCAATCACGAAAGGCCGTATATTGTATGATTCCATTTATATGAAATGTTCAGACTAGGCAAATTCACAGAGACAGGAAGATTAGTGATTGCCTAGGGCTGGGGTTAGGGAAAAATGGGAAGTGATTACTAAGACCTACAATGTTGCATTGTGGGGGGTGAAAAATATATAAAATTGATAGTGGTGATGGATATACAACTCGGTAAATATACTACAAACCACTGTACACTTTTAATTGGATGAACTGTGGAAAACTGGTGAACTGTGGCTCCCAAAAAGTCACATCCTCATCCCTGGAACCTGTGAAAGGGGTTTTTCCAGATGCAATTAAATTAAGCATCTTGAGATAAGATCATCCTGGATTCTCTGGCTGGGCCCTAAATTCAACAACAAGTGTTGTTATACAAAAAAGACAGAGAAAGATTAACACACACACACAGATAGAGGGAGGCAATGTGAAGACAGAGGCAGAGCCTGGAGTGACGTGGCCACAAAGCCAGGAATGCCCACAGCCAGGAGAAGGCAGAAGCAGCATGGAAGCGTTCTAGCATTCTCTCCTAGGGCCTCCAGGTGGTGTGTGGCCTTGTGACATCTTGATTTCAAACTTCTGGCCTCCAAAACTGTGAGAGAATAAATTTCTATTGTGGTAGTTTGTTGTGACAACCATAGGAAACTAATGCAAGTATACAAATTATATCTCAATAAAGCTGATATTTAAAAAAAGAATCCACCTCATAATTAATGGCAGACGACTTGCAGTTTCAGAACAAAGCGATAAATGTAGTGATACTGTCAACACATGGAGAAGAAATATTAAACAGGATGTAGAGGGAGGTGGAATGAATGAAAAGTAGATCATAATATCCCTCATGCATGAGGTGGGAGATGATGGGACATAATTCCACGTCTTCCTAAGTGCTATTCTCTCACTATGAGGTGTTCTTTTTGCCCACCCAGCGAATAACCACGCATCCTTGGAGGCTCAACTTAAATGCTACCTCCCAACCCTCTGTAGTGTTGTCTATGTACTTTGTCCTGAAGCTCTTACTATACTTGTCCTGCCCTACTGTAATTATCTGCACTTAAAATTTACCATCAATAGACCCAGATTGAGTAATAAAATTTTTCATCAATAGACCTAGAACGATGGTCCTCAACTGGGGGAAATTTTACCCCCAAAGAACATTTTTTGCCATGTCTGGAGACATTTTTGTTTGTCGTAACTGCAGTGGACACTACTGAATTCAAGTGAGTAAAAGCCAGTATTCCGTTAAACACCCTACAATGTCCAGCTCAAAATGCTAACTGTGCTGAGGCTGAAAAACTCTTAGAACTTAGGAAAGCATCTGATACACAGTAGAAACTCATGAAATGTTTGTGGGGCACATGGATGAATGAATGGATGGTAGATGGACAATGAATGAAGATCACGGAGCCCTGGGGTTTTAAAGCATGGCTGCACAACAGAATCACCCAGACCCTGTTCTCAGAAACTGACTTAAACTGCTGCTGCCAGAACCCACCCCTCGAAGTTGATTTAGTTCACTTGGGACGGAACCAAGGCGCTAATGTTTTAAATCTCACCAGGCCAGAGGTAAGAGGCAGCACGGGCTAAGGAACAGACTCGGGACAGCTTAAATGCCAGGCCGGCTCAAGGCAGATGCAAGTAGAGAGACTGGACAATCAAAAGCACGCAAAGTGTGGAGAGTTCCATAGTCTCCAAAAAAAATATTAACTAGGAAAGAGCAGAGAATTGAAGGGAGCGTCCCAGGGCATGCTTGCTCTGAGTGACCAAGAGGAAGCTTGCCCAAAAGAATGGCAATATGAATGGTTGGAGAGATACCAAGACAATGTGGATATAGCAGTATCTTCATTAAAAAGAAATTTAAACTACAAAAAATCAGCTGGGCATGGTGGTGCGTGCCTGTAATCCCCGCTACTCAGGAGGCTGAGGCAGGAGAATTGCCTGAACCCAGGAGGCGGAGGTTGCGGTGAGCCGAGATCGCGCCATTGCACTCCAGCCTGGGTAACAAGAGCGAAACTCCATCTCAAAAAAAAAAAAAAAAAAAAGAAATTTAAGAAGAAAAAAGCAGAGATTCAGCAGACGGAAAAGAAGATACTTTCTATACATTGTTTTCACCCCCACCACCTACTTTTGATAATCCTAAAATAGAAGTAATTGGTAAACCATGTAGTCCAGAGCTTCTCACTCTTCAACATGCACAGAAATCACCTGCTGGAGTGTCTTCTGATTCAAGAGGTCTGCAGTGGCCCTGGGACTCTACATTTCTAACAAGTTTCCAGCTGATGGCAACACCACTAGTCCACAGATCTAGTTTACAGTCACCATAGCATATCTTCAGTAACTTTTTACTTTACGCAATGTGAATGAAGCAATAGAATCAGAAGCTTCCAATAATTGTTAAAGTGATAAGTACATTACAATTGATAAGTACATTACAATTAAATATCAAAACTCTCAAGCATGCCTTTTTTCATTTTACACTGCTAAACAAAATGACAGAGAAAAGATCACTAGCAAATATTTATGTGAAAAGTCTACCTCAAGAAAATTAGTTGAAAGGAAATTGAAAATGTAAATTAATCAAATATAAACTTACTATACACTGAAGTTTTATATTAAAAATGAATTAACACTAGAAATTTCTAATAAGGCATCTCTGATATTTTGGCCAAATAAACTTTGGAGGAGGGTTGGTTTGACCACACAAAGGGAGGTTAAATCACTAAGAGTACTGAAGAAGCAATGTGGAAAAGCCTTGGAAAAGTAATTTAACAAATAGTAACTATGAGGTCTGAAGGCACATCCTATTTGAGACAAACAGAAAACTATTAAAGCCATGACGAGTTAAGGACTTACCTAAGAGCAATTCAAAATATTTTTAAAGGAAAAAGAAAAACAGCTAATAGGGTCACTGTTTCTAGAGTCTCACAGCTCTCCTGCAAACCAGTAAGACTGTACTATAACAAAGAAAATTTTCTGAAACAATCTAGTTCCCTTGAAACTGTTCAGCTGGTATGAGTAAGGACATATACCCGCTTCAAACACCTTCAAATAATACCAAAAGTCAATCCACCTACAACCAGGCCTCATTCAGCAGTTACAATCAATGGGCAAAATTTCAACCTGAAGTATATTCAGATTATATAGTCGTCATTATTAGCAGACCTTTTTCTATCTGAGGACCACAATAAGATAACATAATTAGCTTTCTTCCATCTAAGCGGAAACCTATAGTTCTCAAGTGTTCACAGTGAAATCCTGTGACTAGCATTAATTTAGCAGCATGGACATTCCATCCCAGAAACTCTGATTGCAGCAAGTCTGGATAGGTCCTTGGACATAGCTAGAAAGCAAACAAACAAAAAACTCCCCAGATGATCTTGATACTCACTGTGGTTAGGAATAATGCTCTGTGGTTTGTAACAGTGCTTCTCAAACTTTATAGTCAGGAAGTATGGCCAGGGATCTTATTAAAATGAAAATTCTCGTGCCTTAGCATTTGGGTGGGTCCTTAGGGGCCCTGCATTTCCAACAAGCTCCCAGTGGTTGGACTGCACCACAAGCAGAGGAGACTTACAACATGGAATGGAAACTCAATGTCGCCAAAGGACCAAGCACACGAAGAAGAGAGGGCTAGGTGGGGGCCTTGTCCTCTTGGAGAATACATACGCCTTCTAAAGAGAGCATCTGCTACGCAGCTCCCGTGGGTGGTGGCAGGACTTGCTGATTTGTCAGAAATGTCAGAAATCCAGGCTTTTATGGGAAAAATCTGACAATGTTAAATGCTGTGTAAGCCAACCAAGTCCAGTCACAGAGCTAAATCATTTTATGTGAATGTCCTCATTTGATCCTCATTACAACCCTACAGGCTATTAAGCCATCTTACATCATAGGTAAGAAAACTGAGGTGCACAGGAGAGAGAGAGAGAGGGAGAGAGGGAGGGAGAGAGAGAAATTAGGTAACTTGCTTACGATCTCCACCCAGCAGCAGAGCAAGGATTCAAGCCCAGGTCCTCCCTACCCAGAACCCACATTCCTAATCACTAGGCCACATCCCACTAGTGGGTGGAGGGCCATCCTCCCTCTGCTAATCTAGG